TCTAGATAAGGCACAGTTTTTCCACAAATACTAGTTGTTACATCTAGATAAGACACAGTTTTTCCACAAATAATAGTTGTTCCATCTAGATAAGGCACAGTTTTTCCACAAATACTAGTTGTTACATCTAGATAAGACACAGTTTTTCCACAAATAATAGTTGTTCCATCTAGATAAGGCACAGTTTTTCCACAAATACTAGTTGTTACATCTAGCCAAGGCACAGTTTTTCAGTCTACACGTTTCCCATTCCATAAACATACAGGATCTGTTGTCAGATGAGGACGTGAACGGACGCACGAGAGAGGAGCTGTAGCAACAGTTTTAATTGCCTACATAGCATAAGCAAAGACGCTTTCTTTAAACTAGCCTAACACGTGTGCCAAGTCTGCCTTTATCAAGTTTTGGGACGTGCAACCCTGACTGATTTCAACTTGTAAAATGACACAAATTGTATCATTGGTGTTGAGTTCTCTTTGAAAATTGTTTAGTATCGATTGTGCGGGGAGTCAGTCCTGTGTTTTTTCTGTTTCTCCACACCTTTTTTACGACTGTACTTTTCTTCCCTGAGAGAACCTGTGATATATATTCAACATGAATGACTCACTTCCACGTTTCTACGACTGACTGGAACTAATACTGACCCTTTTTGGGTAAAGATGTAGATTTTAAAGATTGGCAGTTTCGTTTTTATTGATAACACTGGTCAACACAATTCTGAAAATGTTTCATTTTAAAGCATGTGTTTACATGTACGACTTTCATATTGAATTTGCGTCGTAGAATTCAAATCTGGTATCAGGTTTTCTCTATCAGGTCAGGGTTTTTAAGACGATGGGTCGCATATTCTTTTTCTCTTTAATTCATTAAAACAGAAACCCCTAACATCAGGTTCGTATGAGAATTAAAAATATCTTCAGTTCCAGCTCTTTCCAACTCTTCATTTTTTAAAAATAAATTCATTCCATTTTATTTGTAGAATTTTTCGTAAACATTTTGTTTTGAAACTAGATTAGAATAGATAACCGATCACCCATAACTTAATACTGAAATATATTCATAGGCAAATGGGATCTTATTAAACATACTTTGAACAGTTGCAACATATTTTTTCTTTTTTAAAAATACCAATTTTCTCCTGCCTTTTTCCTCCCAGGCTCCAGCGGTCCTTCAAGTCATCATCGCAGCCTGTTCTAGAAGTCACTTTCGTTGAGTACCGAGATGGTTTCTGTGAATGACAGCCACGTGACACACTTAAAGTCCGGCGAGAACGGCTTGGTGAGCGAAGACGTTTTGGACATTTTCGTCGTCATTTTCTTTGTCGCCGCTGCAGGATCCATCAGTTTTTTGGGAGCAATTTTCAACGTCATCAACGCTATAGTGTTCTTCAAGCAAGGTTTTCAAGACACCGTGAACATTACTCTGTTTTTTCTGGCCATCTCCGACATGGCAACCTTAATGAATATCATGTGGATAGGCGTCTGTTTCAACCCTTTGTTCGTCCAAGCGGATTTCCCCGTCCACTACCAAGACTTGTCTTACATAACGTCGGGCTGGCTTGGCTGGTGCTTCGCTCGTATCTCTAGTTGGATCACGGCGTTTGTCACTTTTGAGAGGTGTCTGTGCATCGCGCTACCCCTGAAAGTGAAAACTATCATAACTCCGAGAAATACAGTGATCGTAGTTCTTGGAATATACATCACCATGTTAGCTAACGTCGTGCCTGTGTACTACTCTATCAGTCTAGGGCCCAAGTATTTCCCTCAACTAAACCAGACAAAGATGGGATTAGTTTACATAGCTAACGGTGTCTCTATCGAAAACGTGTCACTTTCTATCAATGCTATATCTCAGATGGTTTCCTTCTTTGCAACAATCGCATGCACGATCATCCTTGTTCACAATCTTCTTCTCAAGTCAAAATGGCGGCAGTCGAAATCTAGCGCCGTCCAACAGAAATCTTTTTCAAAAAGAGATACAAAAGTCGTCAAGATGATAGTGTTCATTGCATGTGTGTTCATCGCATGTTATTTACCGAGCGCAGCCAACTTTATTGCATCGGTGATTTTTGACGAGTACGGTCTTAATGGTAGATATCGGAATATGTTTGTTCTAACGTGGTCCATTTTTCTCACTCTAGTGGCCCTCAATTGTTCTGTCAATATATTTGTCTATTATAGCATGAGCTCAAAGTTCGGGGAAATTCTGAACAGCATGCTCAATATAAACAGAACTGAGACATAAGTGTTAGGAGAAGCAAGATGATTTCCACACTGGAATAGAAACTCATCATAATATATATAT